GATCCGAACCCGGGGCCTTGGTGTTATCAGCACCACACTCTCCCGAGTGAGCCACGGGCCGGCCCCAAATTCCTTGTAAATAACAGTTGGCTCTTGCATTTTTATCCAATCTGGCAATACCTGTCTTTTAATTAGGTGTTTAGAAACCATTTACATGTAATGTAATTATTGATATGGATGGGTTTAAATTTATCATCTTGCTATTTCTTTTTATTTGTCTTATTTGCTTTTTTTCCTCTTTCCCTGCCTTCTCTGGGATTGAGTATCTTCTGACCCCATTTTACCTCCACCTTTATGAAAGTAATAATGTTATGCACACATGTAGTGCAAGAATCTTACCCAGTAACTTCTATTTCCCCTATTGTTTTTGCTATTGTCTTCATATATTTAACTTTACATGTGCTACAGACTCCACAATGTACTATTTTCTTTAAAGAGTTGGTTATCATTTAAAGAGACAGAAAAATGGAAAAAATGTTTTTCTAATATACTATATGTTTACAGTTTCTGTTGCTTCTTTTTGTAGATCCAGATTTCCATCTGGTATCATTTTCCTTTTCGCCGAATAACGTTTCTTGTAGTGCAGATCTGCTGGTGAATAATTCTTATGGTTTTTGTTTGTCTGAAAAATCTTTATTTTGTCCTCACTTTGAAAGGATGGGGAAACACCAAGGTCTATGATTTGATCCCTGTGCTGGCCAGCCGCCAAAAAGAAAGGAAAAAACAAAAAAAGGATAGGGAAGGAAACATGGGGTCTCAGTTTCTCTTCCCTGCTCCTCACTGAGCAGACCTCCTATGTATCTCTGTCACGTGGGAAGTAGAGATAAGAAATCCATGAAAAAGTTATAACATCAAGGTCAAGGGTTTGTATTCCCATATTGGCCAGCTGCCAAAACAAATAAACTAAAAATAGAAGTTCATGAAAGGCCCAGAGCTCCACTCTCAGTCCACATGGGACCTTTAGAAGCTTCTTGGAGAATCTAGTTTGGTAATCCTGGCTTTTTTGATCTCTGTGTGTCCTAGGGAATGTAAAGTGGGAGATCTGTGTGGATTTGCAAGTGAGAGAGGGTGTGAGAAAAGAAGTGTGGGGTTGTGGGCCGCAGGGTGTGCTCAGGAAGCAAAGGTGACCTCTATTGTCTGTGCTCTCCCAACAGTTCTGGGATTGTGGAGAAAGCATTTATTCTGTATCCCCTTTGTTGTTTGGAAGTTCTCCTTGAACTCTAACTGTAGACCATACTGTCATTGTCTGGAGTTGGGGGATGGATATAATTTCATGACTGTAACATGCAGAGAGTTGGAAAGCAATTAGTTGGGTCCACCCCACCAGCACCTCAGGCCTCTTTCTGACTCCCACCAGCAACCTCACTCATTTTAGCACCCGAGCTACTCCGTGGAAGTAAGCAGGTGAGAAGGTGGCAGCGGTCCCCTAGACAGCCCACCATAGCTGCCTTCTTCTGGTGCTGGCCCTGGCTCCTTCTAGCTCTGGGAAGAAATGGAGGCGTTAGAGCGGCAGAAAGAACCCGAGATTTAGCAGAGCGCAACCTTATTAACGTAGGGCCTCTCTGAGGAGGGGGACACACGGCTCATGTGGGAGATTAGATCGATCCACCCGTCCAACACGGTGGCTGGTGAAGGTACAAGGTGGTGGATCGCGCCTTAGCTCCTAACCCACAAGCTCCTGAAGAGCCTCCAGCTGGAATCCCGGACTGCTGGGATTGCGGGACGGTGGGCACCGCGGAGCTGCCCCCGGACAGCCAGTCTCATACGGAGCCCTCGGTTGGCGCAGGACGGCTTTCCGCAGGAGACACCGCTCCCCATGTGGTCGCCCGCTTCGCCCCGGCGCTCTCTGCGCACTTTGCCGCCACCTGGCTGTGCTCTAGGGGCCTGGACTTGCTCCTGCCCGCGCGGCCACACAGCCCAGCCTCCCGCGCCAGGTGCGGTGCGGCGCGGCTCGGGCTCCAGCCCGACTCCAGCGCCAGCCTCGACCGGGAGCGCCCTCTGGCGGTGCTGGGCGCCGGCCCGGGGCTCCGCGCGGCTCCAGACCTGAGTGTTGGGCTCCCGCTGACCGCGCTGCAAGGAGCCTGCCAGACCTGGACGGGTCTGGTGGGTGTTCGGAAAGAGCCAGGAGGCCGCCAAGGGCGGCCGCGTTAGTGTGGACATCTGTTTGCTGAGCCTGGAGTCACCTTTTCCGGACTGGCCACTGCCTGGAGGAGGTATAGCAGGCTTCTTGGTGTCCCCAACCTCACTGCCATCTCTAGCTGAGCCCACCTCCTCTCCTGGGCACTGGAGGAGGCGGGAGTGCGGCGGTCCACGCAAACGGGAGAGCATCCGGAATAGAGGGGGGTGCACCTTCACCGGGTGGGATGTGCGTGGGAGGAACTCTAGAAAATGTCCCTGCTTTTCCTGGAATCGCCATCTCTCGACTCGCATGCAGGGAAGTCAGAGAGGTTCGGATGCGGGTGGGGTGAGGTTGAATCCCTGAAAATTGCTGGGACTCTCCTGGCCTCGGTTTTCACACTCAACTCACTGGACAAATCTGGAGCGGGCAGTGGCGATGTCCTTCCTAGTGGGTGTATTTCTACCGGTGCCAGACAGGGCACGGGATTCAAGTGTGGCCCTGGACAGGTCACTGGCCTTTTCTGGCCTTCCCAGGTAAGCTTAGACCTTGAAAGAGGCTTTGGTTTCAAACCAGCTGTGGTCATGTTACAGGTAACATCATTAGCCCATCCTGTTCCAATGCAAGCTGCTGAATATTTCTGTACCCTACAGCTCTATGATCACAGGCTTGTGCTCATGTAAGCAAAAACCACAGGCTGCTAGCTCCCAGCTTTTTAACCATACTTCCTGCCCTTGTACCCAGAAGTAATGAAGGCCTTACCTAAAGCTTGTTCAAAATTATGCCTGTAAGGAAAGTTTTATGCTTTGCTAACTTGCATATTTTAGCTTTTGTAAACCAGCTGTGCTTGCTCTTTCAAAACATCTTGTGTGCCTTACAAGATGTCACTAGTTAACAACTCAAGGTTAAACATAAGTAACACTATTTTGTAAAAACATCTATTTTGATTCGTCTCAAGGACAGTAGGGAGGGGGTAGGATGGTCAGAAAGTCCTGACCAAGGACTGTCGGAGAGTCCCTTAGTCCCTGAGTGCCTGCCAAACGCTAACCACAAAAATTAGCTTATGTATACAAGGCTTGCTTGCATTGGCTAAAACAAAACAAGCAATCACCCGATCGCACCCCACTAAGCATAAAAACCGAAAGTAAATCAGGCTCGCCCCCGCAGTTTGAATTGGCTGCTGCGGTCCCGGCCGGAATAAATCTTTAACACTCCCTTCCGAGTGTGTCTCCTTTGAAACTCGGCTATAACAGTCACAACTGTTGAGGAATACGAGGAACGCTGCGGGTAACCGGGTCAGTATGAACGCGACTTGGATTGCAGTCCCCGGGTCTTGGGTGGAGGCTGGAGGCGGGGGCAGCTGCATGAGGGGACAGGTAGGCGGCCAGAGGGGTCCTGCTACTTCAGCACCGAGGACCGGACAGCGCCCTCGGGGCCGCCCCGCGACTCCAAAGGAGGGACTGTCGCTCACTTTGCACTCCTGTGGCCGACAGAGGCAGACGGCAGAACCGTGTTGGAGGGGCCTCACCTTCGGGACGCGGGCCTCGAGTGGTCCTGCGTTCATAGGGTTGGGACCAGAGATGCAGGAGAGTTAGACTCTGGGTATCACGTAAACAACTTTCTGTAGCGCTTCAGATTATAAAACTTTTTACACAGCGTCTCCTCTCTGCCTTACAACAGCCCAGGAAAGCAGGCACAAACCTCCCCTTTAATAAATGAGGGAACTCAGAGTGGGTAACCGACCCCTCCCAGTCATACAGACCGGGGGTGGGGGGAGGGGAGGGGTCGAGCCAAGACTCGAACCAGCCTCGGTTGTAGCAGATCCATACGCTCAGACGGAGACGGTCGTGGGGCGCCCTTATTGAAGCAGGACCCAGGAAGCTGAAAAGCCAGCACAGAAGATAAGGCACTTGGGGGTGAGGGCGCCTCATGGCCCGGGGCCAAGCGCAGGTGCAGTGGGAGCTGTGGTTAGGCTGGGCCACGCCTAGGGCTGCGAGGAGCGAGGCTCCTAAAAGACGTGACTTTCTCTATTCCTCTCCAGTCTGCGGTGGCAGTCAAGGCCCATCATAGCCAGCTATTCAGACTCGTCTGCCCAGGATCCTAGCCTTCGGGCCAGAGGCTACTCATTCGCTTTCTGGTCAGTCCATCCCACCAGGGCTGTGACTAGGGTGAGGCGAGTGAAGAGCCCGGGTGCAAATCGTAAGGAGCACTCACTTTCAGGTCGTGCAAGTGCAGGCTCGCACCGGCACGACCCTAACAGTGAGTCTTCCCTCCTTCCCTTCCCCGTCCTGCCTTCATTCTAACCCTTAAGTTCCCAGAAAACGAAGACCGAGTCTTCTAGTCCCCCGGGGGGGGACTGCCTGGGCAGTGCAGGGCTCAAAGTTGGAGCTCAATGAACTGTCGTCAGTGGCCAAGCCTCATCCTTCTTTTCTCTACAAAAAATGACCTAGGCTGGGAAGGGCAGGTTCCTGTGAGCCACGTGATCCAGCCGATTCTGCTTTGGCCAGTGTTTGGACATTTGCCAGAATAAAGCAGATGACATGGGTGGGAGAACCCAATGCCCACGCAAGATTGAGAAAGTCGGAGCCGGAAGGTAGAGGACGTTTTGTCCCACCCATTCTTTTCACATGAAGGTCAACAGACTTGGAGAATGGCGATGACTTACTTCAAGTCACACAGACACGTCAGGGCAGGGACATGGCTACATAACGAGTTCTTCGACGACGTGACCTAATTAGGGTTTTTTCCCCTGGGACACAGCTGCCCGATGAGTATCGAGTGTATCGATGCTCTACTTATGAGGACTGGAACGGTGAGAAGGATCAATCTATTGCTTTTGACTGCCAGTAAATGCTGCGCGCTGATTGGTCCCGGTTTAGGAAGCGGAAGGAAGGGCGTGCAGGAGCACTCGGCTTGAGACGGGGGCGCCGGCGTGGGAACCAGTGTTCGGGGAGAACATGGAGTCGCTCAGTTGTGGCACCGTCGTCTGCGTGGTCTGCTTGGAGAAACCCAAATACCGCTGCCCGGCCTGCCGCGTGCCCTAGTGAGCAGCGAGGTCGTGGGAGCACGAGGATCCGGCCGGGGCGGGAGGCCGGGCGGGGGCAGGAGGGCTAGGGCCCGCGAAGCCTTGGGGGCTGACGTGGCTTGTGGTCTCTGTTATTACAGCTGCTCAGTGACCTGCTTTCGGAAGCACAAAGGTAAGGTCCCAGCGGCCCCACCTCAGCTCTCTGCCCCCTGCTTGCGAGGACCAGCTCTCACGCCCCGCCGCATCTCAGGGACGTGGATCCCTGGGGCTGCTCTTCCTCTGGGCTTTGCCGCGCCTCGTCCCATCAGAGCCCCTCAGCCCTCCCAGCCTTTCCTGCCTCGGGTCGCCGCTCGTTCTGTGGGAGCCGTGCTTCCTCGGGCTTGATTTCTGGTGTCCTGGATCTCTCCCTGTGCGGGACCTCTGCCTGTAAATGCCTCTCAGGATTTTGAACGTTCAAAGACCTTTTTTTTCCCCCTACCCTGCCTTTCTTCCTGCGTGCCACTCTTTTTCTTCTTTGCAAATAGTCGACTGCTTTTGCCATAAAAGCCTACCCTAGCTGTTTCTTCATCCTAGCATCTCACCGTTTGGCAGAAACTGCGCTGGCTAATGTTAACAAGAACATTTTCTTTCTTTTAAATAATGGCTTGAAACCTAGGTCAAGGGTTCGGATCTCCATACCGGACAGCCGCGCGGGGGGGGGGGGGGGAGGCTTGTTAGAAATAATGAGGTAGATCAGTTTACAATAAGGAGAGAAGTCCTTGGTTGAACAGAACGAAATAAGTTCTGTGTATGATGTGAGCACATTTTTGTACAATTAAAAAGTGCTGTTTATTTGTGTATATGCATCCAAATACATTGATTGTACATCTACTTATCAAATCTATAAATACTGTCTTTAAGATGTGTGGTTATAGGCCGGCCCGTGGCTCACTCGGGAGAGTGCGGTGCTGATAACACCAAGGCCGCAGGTTCGGATCCTATATAGGGATGGCCGGTTTGCTCACTGGCTGAGCGTGGTGCTGACAACACCAAGCCAAGGGTTGAGATCCCCTTACCGGTCATCTTTTAAAAAAAAAAAAAAAAAAAAAGATGTGTGGTTACGAAACCAACATGTCCCTGTAGAAAATTCATTTATCACTCTCTGGTTGCTTCTTTATATTTGGTGAATTTGCAATTTTAAAATTAGTCACATATGTTTTTTGAAAGTAAAATAAATTTCTGCGTTTAATTTTAAAAAGTCCCAGTATTTTAGAACGCAAAACTCATTAGACAATTCTACCACCCAGTAAATATTACAATTAGAAGTTTGACGTAGATTATTTCAGATTATTTTCATTCTTGGATATATAGAGGACTCTTTTTTTAGCTCTCAGAATCTCAGCAATGAGATTATACTACTCGACAACATCCTTATTTGATTTTTACAGTGTATGTTGGGCATTTTAAACAACCAGTGCATGCAATTCTAGCTGATTGATATGGTTGAAATGACTAATATTTATAAAACCAGCCCCCATTGGTGGATATTTGAGTTGTTTTGCTTTCATTGCTGCTACAGTCGGTGTTAAAGCGGTATTTAATAAAGAATCATTTCTCCCAAGAATCTCTAACAGTCACATCTGTTGAACACTTCATTTGTCATCTTTCTTGATTCCTATGAATATCTATTGTGCTTGATGTCTCCCGTCTTGATATTCTCCTGTTGACTGGCGAGATATCTTCCTGCTCTCTGGGGTTCTTTCCTTACTGTGTTTTTTTGTTTGTTTGTTTGGCAGTTGACTAGTAGGGAGATCCGAACCCTTGACCTTGGTGTTATAAGACTGCGTTCTAATCAACAGAATAATCGGCCAGCCCTGCCCTTTTCTTTAGGTTTTTTTTTAAAAATCGTAACTCATTTATTTACTTATTTTTTAAGAAAGCAGTAAAAGGCTGCAAGAGGACTTGACAAGGTTGTCAGTGGCTTTTTTTTTCTTTGCTGTCCTCCTTTTCTGAATGCTGTTTCTCAGTCTTTTACTGGATTCTCTCCCTTTACCTGCCTGCTAAACTCGTTCTTCAGATTCTGTCCTTGACCTTATTCATGGGTGATTTCTTTCACTTCTGTAACTTTCTTCCTTTTTTTCTTTTTTACTGACACTCAAATCTATAGCTTCAACCTCTTTTTGAGCCACTAGAAACAAATATCTGTTTGGGGGTCGGGTGCTACTAACCCTGAAGATTCACCTCTCCTTCATTCCCTCCTGCTGTGTTCCTTACATGTATAGGACAATTTTAGAGTTGGATTTGGGCAACTCTAAGGGCAAAATTCTGCCTCTGCCATTTACTAGCTATGAACCTTGGGCAAATTTATTACAAGAAAACTTAATCCTTTCATCTGAAAGTGGAATGAACATTTTCCATGTCATAGGTTCTTGGTAAGTGTTCAGTGAAACATTGCATAAGTGTCTGAAACAGTGCTTGGCACTTAGGGAGTGTTCAGTCATTGGCAACTGTTGTAACATGGTTAGAACCTTTTCCCTTTTCACAGCATACTGTCAAGTCTACATTTTAGGTCTTTCTCCAGTCTGGCCCCTCCTTTCTGTCCTTGGAACCCATTTCCATGACCTCATGCTCTGTTGACTCTTATATTAAAGTTCCTCTTTGGTTGTTTTGCCTCTAGTTTTATCCCCTCTAGTCTCTGGTTTATAGCAGTAGGTTTCAAACACTTCCGTCCTCCCCCTTTTCCTAATATCTCTGGAGTATTTTCAAAAGAAACCTTACAGCTCAAGATAGGAAAGTAGAGCTGCTTTGCTGGAAATAGGGTTGAGGGTCTGGGGTCATGAATACTTCCCTCTTACCCTGCAGCCCTGTGGTATCCCTCCAGGAACCCCTAGGGCAGTCAGGAGCTCATTACTGCTGCTGCCAATGTGATTTTTCTGGAAATGCAAATTTGAGCCATTCACTCCCTTGCTGAAAACTCTGTGGTTCTCTAGCATGGAGGGCAATGTTCTTAACCTGGATATTGCTCTCCCTAGGGAGACACATTGTATTTGTTGTCACAGTGACTAAGGAGGGATTGGCTGTACTACTGGTAGTTGGTGCTGGGGCTCAAATGCACATCCTGCAGTGTGTGAGACTATCGTATACCGTTAAAAACTTTCCCACCCTGAATACCAGTAACGCTCTTGCTGAGAATCACTGGTCTTGGGAAGAAAGATGAACCTCCTGTGTTTGGCATTCTTTTGCTCTGGCTTCCTCCTCTTGTACCTCAGCCACCTGCCAGGCCTGCCCTACCAGTGAGCTGGTAGTTGCTCATCACCATCTTCTTGAGCCTGACCTTAGTTTTTCAAGCCTCTGGTCCAGGCATCAAACTTTCCCTCTGCCAGGAATGCTTTTCTTTCTACCTGGCAAAGCCTCCTCCTCTTAGCGTCCTTTTGATCTTATCTCCTGGCTCTCTCAGATGGACTTACACTAGACCCTTCTTACCTTATCCATATCTCTAGCTGTCATTCATAAGAGTAAACCCTTCTGAGGTGGGTGTGGTGACTTTCATCTGTATATTCCCAATGGCACATGGTACATGCAAATTTGGTATCTGAAACTGCTAAGAAAAAATCATTTGATGCTCATTGAAGTTAGTATTGAGAGTCCTGTGAGCTTAGGCAGGGCAGGGACGATGGGGACAGTCATTTGATGCTCATTGAAGTTAGTATTGAGAGTCCTGTGAGCTTAGGCAGGGCAGGGACGATGGGGACAGGCTCTTGGGGTGCATGAGCCCTGCTTCCTCAGCCCTTCTGCCATCTCAGGTCACTCCTGATTTCCTTATAGTGGCCCTGATCTTGATCTTCAATATTCCTCTGCATCCATCTCCACCCCACTCCACCCCTTACCCCATAACACATGCTTCCCACCTAGATGTTGGCTTAGGGGGGAGGTGCAGCCTTGTCACTGAAAGGGAGGTGATGTGTGCCTGAGATTTACATCTCTTTCAGAGCAGTGCAACCCTGAAACTCATCCTGTTGAGAAAAAAATAGGATCAGCTGTTCCTGCAAAAACTATAAGGCCTGTGGAAAACAAAGGTGGGTTGGTTGACTTCAAGCAAACAAACCTAAAAAGGGGTTTCAAAAAGAAAAAGTTGAAAGGAGGGCCAGCCCTTGACTCACTCGGGAGAGTGCAGTGCTGATAACACCAAGGCCATGGGTTCGGATCCCTATATAGGGATGGCTGGTTTGCTCACTGGCTGAGCATGGTCCTGATAACACCAAGCCAAGGGTTAAGATCCCCTTACCGGTCATCTTTTTTTTAAAAAAAA